TATTATCATTTGGGATGTAATTATCACACACGGCCAATCGTGCACATGCTGAGAACCTCAGGAACTTGTTTTTAACTGGTGGGGGAAGCTTAATGATAGTTTTGACAAGAACCATTATTTGTGCACACACACACACAATGCAGTGGTAGCACTTTGGAGAAGGAGACACAGCAGAGATGGGGATGGAGAGAGAGAACTTGCAACAGAGAAGCTAACATTCATTTTAACTAGCACTTGTAGCAGTAACATTAGTTAGTTAACCTCGCTTAATGGGCAAGAAAATGAAATTAAGGGAGGTTAAATCTGATGTTGAGCCATGCAGTAATTGGGTGGCAGGCCCAGGAAAAGGACAGAACAGAGCTGCAAAACTGTGAGTGAACCAAATTCAATGGATAATCAAATGTTTCTTATTCACAATGGTGACTTTTTCAAAAGCATTTGCAAGTGCATGTCAGGATTGCAGATGTCTTCCAGACACAGTTCTGGACTATTCACCACGTACAGCCGTGGAGAGCATCCCTTGCATCAGATTTGTAGACTATTTGTACCATATTAACAGCAATCGTGACAACAGTATTTTTAAATACTGACCATGTGTAGTAAGTGAGGTGTTACCTTTTGAAAGTACCCAAAACAATTCTTGGTATGTTGTTCCATGATGTGGGCTAAGATTAGTTTATCTTGCCATCTCATTTATATATTGTTTCTGAACAGGATCTATGGGCCAGTTTCAGTAATTTTCAAATAGCCTTTTTTATCTTTCCTAGCCCATCTATGATTTGAAAAAACACAGCAATTTATAACATTCTCACTTTCACCAAAACATTGATGGATGGATGGATGGATTTTTATATCTCTATCTAAATCGACATTATCTGTCTATTATCTATCTATCAATTGATCAATCAATCAGTCTATCTACCTCCCTCCCTTTCTACCTATCTATTTATCTATCTACCAACCTATCAGATGAACAAAGAAAAGGTTAAACTTGCAAATGGAGAAAATGCCCAGCCACATACTTTTTCTTGGGATAAATTTTGGTTATGGAGGGTACTGCAGAAAATGTCCTCAGGTTCAGCTGCATGGTACCCTGTCTATTCTGTCCAAGGTTGAGTCAGGGGAAGAGGGTTCAACCCTGAAATGTCATCATAGTAAAAAACAATGTGGAGCCAACCACAGAAACCCCTATGTATGGCTAAGACTCTTATTTTATTTTTATCCTCCTGACCCAGCTGAACTATTCCAGACCATGTTTTTCTGCTCACTATTTTATAACTAAAATTGTCAAATGTGCTAAAAATTTGAAATGATTATATGGTGGACACCCTTATACCCATCACCTAGATTCTTCAGTTGTTATGTTTTGTTCCATTTGTGCTTTGAACTAAATGTACGTATTTTTCCAAATCCACATATTGAAGCCCTATTCCTCAGTGTGATGCCACTTGAAGGTGTATTTCGGGCCTTTGGGAGGTAATTAGGAGGTCACAAGGATGAAGCCCTCGTGAATGGGATTAGTGCCACAAGACAGACACTGGAGAGATGATTTTTTTTCTTCCTCTTGTTATGTGAGGACATTGAAAGAAGGTCCTGTCTGCAAACTAGGAAGATGATTCTCACCAGGACCTAAGTCAGCTGGCACCTTGATCTTGGATGTCCTAGCCTCTGCCACCATGAGAAATAAAGTTTTGTTGTTTAAGTTGCTTAGTCTAATGCAGTTTCCAACATTATGAATAAAGATGCCGTGAACATCCTCATGCAGATCTTTCTAAAAACTTATGGGTAAATGCCTAAGAATGGAACTGTTGGATTTTCGGTGCATATTTTGTTGTATAAGAAACTGCTAGGCCTTTTCCCTAAGTGTTTTTTTTTATTTTCCACACTTGGTGGAATTGGTCTTTTTAATTTTAGCAATTCTGGATTGGGGGTGGGTGGTTGCGGTGTAGAGACTCGAATCTCTAGGTATGCTCCCACTAGCTCCTGCTCATCAAAGTGAAACCTGCCCCTTACTGAGCCTTCTCCCTAAGGATTTAACTCAAAAGTTCAAGGAGGGAAGCTTACCTGTTAGTGGCTTATTTTGTGTAAGACCCTAATAGAGGAGAGAAACTTCATCTACTATTTGTCTAACTCTTTGAAGACAAGTTTAAAATATCAGCACAGTCATCTGACTGAACCAAGCTGGTGAATTCAAAGTTATCTTCTGTTTCATGATATATCTTGAGACAAAGAAAATTCTCACATCTAAATCCCAGCCTTAGTCTCTGTTTCCTGCAAGATTTACAAATGCTCATATTCTAGGAAAGGAAAGTTCCCAATACTCAGGCTTGGCCTATTTTCCTTCAGCTTCCCTGAGAACTATTCTTCACGTTATCATAGCCACCCAGTAAGACAGGATTGGTGTCCTCTCTTCCCAGACAAAATAGCTGCCCAGAGTCCCAGGCACAGGACTGGGGACCTGTACACATGATGCTAACACAGGGCTTTGGTAACCACACTCTGTCCTCCCTCAACCTCCACCTTGGAGGCGAGTGCACTTGGCAAGGTCTCTCCACCACCCCCATTCCCAGTCCCATTCATTTCCCTGCTTGCATTCTCTCTCCTTCTCCCCATCTCACCCCACCCCCATTTCTTCCAACTCTGCTCGTTCCCTCACCCTTTTTCTCTCTTGTTCTCCTCCAGATGGGAACTAAAAATGTATCCTAAGCCTGCCTGACAACTGCCAAAGTAGTGCTAGTGGCGTAATGAAGTGAGACATAATGAAGAACCAATGCTGTCAACATCTAAAGCCCTTGAAAGTACCAAGAGGTCCCTTTCAGAATCTCCACAAAGGAACTCTCTACTTTCTCAACCCCTCCTAATTAAACTGGATTTTCCTCAAGTACCAGCATTCTACATAAACAAAAACTTTTGTCTTCCCTACTGGGTTTCTCTTTTAATTAATAGCATCACAGCAACATTTTCTTCTATTATTTGATTGCAAAGACACAGCAAATGTCAGTTACATTTTAAGTTGAATTACAACACTATGTCAATGAAAAATAATGTCATAAATGCCAAACTGACTTAAAACTTGTACAATCAAATCAATTTCTAAATTAGAGCTTGCATTTTTTCCTATTTTGTTTTAAACATTTGTCACAAGAATTTGCCTTTGGCATATTTTCTTTCATATAAAAATATATGAAAATACAATACCATCCTCAATATCACAGCTTTATATGCAGTATGCCAACCTATGTATTGTTATAACCCCATTTTACAGATAAGGAAACTGAGATTCAGAAAACTTTAGGAACTCACAGCTGGTAAATGGCAGAGCCTGGATTCACACCTTAGTTTTTGGGCCTCCAGCTGATGCCTTCTTAGCCACCATGCTGTCCTCCCTCACCCACTGTATTGCCGGTACCACCTAGAACACAAAGCTTCCCAGCATGCACTGGAATGAATCATAATTGCATGATCCACCTTCCCATCATTCTCCGCAGCATTACCATGTTCTTTCCCCAAAATTGTTCAGATCTCACCAAACCTTGTGAGGACAGAGAAAGAGACCAGCAAAAGCTCTGAAGATAAAGCAGTAAATCCAGATCTTTTATAAACCCAGAGCTATTTTAAAAAAGCAAAGCTGTACCTAACAAAGAGAGTTTAGCTATGCAATGAATAATCAGCATCTATTGGGCATTTTAAATAACTCTCATCTGACTCTGAGTGTCAACACAGATTATGTTTTATGCACCTGTCCAGAGTGGGGAGCTTTCCTTTCAAACTTGCTCTGATGGGCTTCATACAGGTCAGCTAACAAGATACCATTGAACAGAGACTTCATGGGGTGCAGCAGAGTTAAAGGCTAAAAAGAGCAAGAGCCAAGATTTGGTTGTTGGACCTAACCTTTTTCTACCAGCTCTGCTGGCTCTTCACCTGATGCTAACATGTGAGACGAGAGTCCATTGACTCGTATAGCCTATCATGTTGTTATTGATTTCATTCTTATATCAGAAAGACTGGTGTCAATGAGGGACAGGCTCACTAGCTCCCTTTATTGAAAGGCTGGAAATCCAACATTTTTCAGACTCCCTTGCAGCTAGCATTCTGGATACAAACTAGGTTCCTCTGACTAGATGTACTTACATGAGATCCAAAAGACACAATTGAGGCAAAAATCATCTTCCTGTCCCCTTTGAAGATTTTTGTTTGTTTGTTTGTATGACAAGCAAGATCATGAAAGGTAAGCTTATTTTTAGCAGCATCATTCCACTGTTCAAAAGGAGCTTCTTGTGCATTGAGAGGTAGTTGGCAGGAGCTGCTTTCTTATTCTGATTTCCTGAACCCTGGACTGCAGCTATTGGAATATGTCTTAAGCTCCTTTTTCCAGTGGTGACCTCAGAAGTAGCAAGTCAGGTCTGTATTACCCCAGATCTTCCTCCTTCACATTGTCTTTCATCAATACAATAACCATGAACACTTCTAGTATGCTCACTATGTGTTAGGCACTATGCTAACACTCTACAAAAAATCATTTTATTTATACCCCAAAAGAACTCCATGAGGAAGATACTATTAATAACCTTTTGTTCTAAATGAGTCTATCAAGATTGAGAAAAGACAGGCAAATTGCACAGATCAAAGCAAAGCTAGGGGGTAAGTGAATAGACCAGCCTCACTTCAACACCTGAGCTCTGCCTCTTTAGCAGTGTTTGAGGGCCTGGGACTTATTAGCAGATTTTAATTGCCCATACACATTGTGTTGCTGAAAAGACATCATTCCTATCTTTTAAATAATATACACATAAAGGTCAGCCTATTTCATGTCAAGATGTATCTAGCTATTGGAGAAGCCTTCAACTTAATTAAATAGAAAGGCAATTTAAAAACCCAGAGGTATCACTTTGTAAAAACTCTCTAAGCCATACCAAGATAACTTTTATTCTAAAAGTTAAAGAATTAAAGTGAAAGCAGACACAGCCTTGTACTTGCCCCTGGAAGGAGTATGTACTTACCAGGCGCTCTGTTCACAGCGAGGTTTCGGAAATGGCTGCCTTTGATCATTTCCACAGATAATCGCCCCGTTGTGGCATTATAGGACAGCCCCACCAACAGCTCTGGCGCCCCTCCATGAGACAGCGACTGCGTGGATGAAGCACTATCACTGTGAGAAAGGGCAGATGGGCTGAGCGGAGACTCTCCACTCTGGAGGGAAGAAGAACAAAGAATCCATTGGCCCACGCTGCACTACTCTCCCTTACAGAAAGGCAATGTTATGTTTGGTGCAACTGCCGCCCAATCTCAACGGCTGCCAAAGATCACTGAGGAAGGGCGCACTCTGTGTGAATGATAATGGGTCTGGGGAGTGCAGCAGTGGGTGAGAGCCCTTGCATTATCGGCTGACATCTTTGTTTCGAGAACTGTCTCCATTCAGTATTTCCCCTCGAAGACAAAACGAGCCAAGATGTTATTACTAGCGTAAATCAAACCATCTAAGATACATAGAAAACTAATAATACATTTAATACGGACCCAAATTCCCTCCTGTGTAATTTGTGCTCCAGTGTTTCTGTGGAGCCCATCCACTCTGTTCTCTGCAGCTCTGTGATGAATGTAGCAATTCAAAGGGCATTTTGTCTTCACTAGGAAAAAAATGACCGCTGGATGTCTACCACCGCACAGAACATTTGGCCCCTAGTTCTGCTTCTTAAGGTCAGAAATATGCCAGATGCTATATATTTTCTCCTAAGAAATAAATTACACTGAGAGTGAGCACTTTTACAAATTTTTGATACAGAAGGCGACACGTGACTGCAATCTCAGAGACCCTGCAGGCACCACGTGTGCCCGGGGAGAGCTCGCACCTTCTGTTATGGTTACTCATGAGCACACTTCCCCATAGCACCCACTTTATGCATCAGACGAGTCGGGAGGAGGTGAGTTAAGCAGATCACCCGGTGGATTCTCATTCAGGGAGGGGAGTAGGAGTAGGAGTCAGCTCTGCAGGGGAAGCCAGCCAGCTCCCCGGCGCCACCACCTCCTCCACCGGAAACCAGTACATCAGGCTTTGCTCAAACCGTTCTCCTCCACATTGAAAATCATTTCCTAAAACTTCTTATCAGTAATGCCAATGAATTGATGCGCTAAAAGTAATTAAATATATTTTTTTACATCTGTAGGAAATGATCCTGTGTACCAAGCCATGGACATCTAGAGCCCAGGTTTTCATGAAATGCAATTTGTAAACTACTGGGCTGGGTGGTTTTGATAGGTGCCTACAGCCCCTGCTGGCTGCTGATAACCCAACAATGGAATATGTGCTAAGTTTTGGGGAGGGTCACCCCCTCCCCTCTGCTTCTACAGAAGCATCTACTGTGGCACCTATCTCTGCCTAGCTTCCCCCTCCCATCAATCCCCCAGGCCCTTGTATGGCATCATGATTTTCCCGAGGCTGTGCCCCCCTTCAAGTGCCATTTACTGTCTTTGTTCACTTGGGAAACACAGACTTCTCCAATCTTATCACCTCTCAGGCCACAGTGCACACATAATCCACTGTCTAGCATATAATTATGCTCAACAAACAAGTGGAGAGGGGATATTTTTGACTCTCAAAGTTCTTTCATGCTGACACATTCTCCCCACTCAACTCTGTGCTCCCAGCAACAGCAGAAGACCCGGCACAGAGAAAGAGGGGTGTGGTCACACCCACCGATCCCAAAGCTCTACAGCGCAGGCGGACTCCTCCTGCCCTCCTGTGGACTCTGCTTTTTCACAGCTTCAGATGTGCTTTACTCAGAGCTTAAGAAGAAAAGAGGGACTGCAGATGAGATGCAATCTTCTTATGGGTCCCTTTTTACTTATTATTTTAATATAATCTTTATTGTATATTTTTCCATTACCATTTAGTCCTCTTATATTCCCCTCTCCTGGCAACCACCTCACTGTTATGTTTTAAAGGCCCATTCTGAGCCCATGTTGGGAAGAGTCTGAGGGGGAAAAGGAAGCAGGGAGAACACGGGGAGGCCATTTCATCCAGCAGACGGGTGGGTTCTGGTTGTATTTTGAAGATGGAACCAATAGGATGTTTACCTGAGCAACTAAAAAAAGACAAAATTGTCTTTAGCCAAGATGGGAAGACTGTAGCTAGAAAAGATTTAGGGAGGTAACAGTTAGGATTTCAGCCTGGAGGTATTAATTTTGAGACATCTATTTTAAATGTCAGTGGCCGGATCTCCCATTGCTACAATCCAGTCTTTCTGGCTCCTTTCCATGGCTCCTCAGACCTGATGAGCTGCTTCCCAGCCCCTGACATTGTCCTCCACATGTCACCAGCTTCTTTCCTGGGTTCCCTGAGTTCTGGGTTTTATCAGCACTTCAAAGAAACTTTCTCTGACTCTTCTAAACAAATGGCAGCCTCTGTCATACTCTTCTTTCCTTCCTGCCTTGGTTTACCTACTGCTGCCCTCCTCCATCAGGCTGTAAGCTCCCCGAGGGCAGCAGCATCACCCACTGGGTTCTTTCCTGCATTCCCTTCCTGACATACAGTAGGCACTCAGTGGGCCCCAAAGCCCGAGATAGCTACCTGATCTTTTTACACGTTTATTAGAAGGTGATACTAGTACAAGATGACATATTACCCATGGCAATAGTGAGACTGCCGATCTTGTGGACACACAAGCTGCACTCTTTCCTTGGCACCCAGGGGACGCAGAGGATGGGGGACAGAGAAGCTTGGTCATACAGATGGGAGATCTTAGAAGTGGCTAGAGTTCTGGGCTACTGTTCGCAGCCTGTGTAGGCACACTCGTCAAGGACCTGGCCTTGACAGTCCCATCTCTGAACTTCATCATAGTGCATACTGGGGGCAGAGTGGGGGTTGGAGGGATGGGTGGTAGGACCATTTATTAGCTGAGTAGAAGGCCTAGCCACCTCTCCTGGTTTGCCCATGCCCTCCACACACTGTGCTCTTGTTCCTAAAATGGACATCCATCAGGGTATGGGGAAGATGGGCATGAAAAACCCACTGAAGCATAAAGCACAAATCATGGCTTAGAAGGATGAGGAGAGCCAAATGGAAAATTAAATTAAAGTATTTGAATTCACAGGCTGAATGTACTAAATCAAGAGATGACAATTCCACATCCTCAAACACACTGCATCATTAGCAGCACCATTTGACATACTCACACTGATATTACTTCTTGGCTCCAGGACCAGAGTCACTTTCATTTCCCCTTCTGGGTGCAGGTGGCTGAGATAGAACAGCTTCTCTCCCATCATTCTCTCACGGGTCATCTTGCGGGCGGCATACAGGCGGAAGCGGATAGCACAGGCGGCCACATCTCTGGGCTCTAGCTTGGCGAAGGTGACCTTCTCCTTGAACACAGGGTTGGGCCCTCTCTGTATGTTCGTCCTGCCCCTTTGTTTCTTACTGGGCAGCAGGACTACGTGAACTTGCCAGGAGTTGATGCCACTTCGGTCCTTATCCGGGAGGCCCTGTGCTCTCACGATGGTCACTGTGAGTTTTTGGCTGGCAGCTCTATATTCAAAGATGACATCCAGATTGCCACATTTTGAGATGGGCTCTGGAACCCCAGATGGCACCTGAAAAGTGGCCCCATCTTGCTCCTGTTGCAGACAGAGGAAAAGATTAGGAATGGAAATGATAACGCCCAACAACATTTCAGCGAGACTATGTCCTTCTGTGCAACTTCAGAACCCTGTACTTTCTGACTGTTAGCTTAGATCCCTGTATATTAGAAAGGTCTGTTTACTGGCCTATTTCTCCATCAGACTGTGAATTTTTTTTAAGGGCCCAATGCCTGGCATATGGGGAGCCTTCACAAATGCTTTTGGAATAAATGAACAAAGCTTTTATATATTGCAGTTTTCATCTACACTGCCTCTCAAAAAATACAATAGGCCACTATTATTGAAACCAACTGAGATACAAAGTCTAAAATTATTCAACTACATAACTGCCAAGGGGTAACCACCTTGAGTCCAAAGAGAAATATTTAAGCCTGGGATTGTGCTCTATGGGCCAGGGCCTCCTGACGACAAGAATCCTAATGAAATTGGTGTCATGGACAGCTGATCTCTCAGCAGATATCCAGTCTACATGGGAGAAACATTCAGGGCAGAGCCTCTCAAATGTTCATGTAAACCTGAATCTCCCGGGGATTTGAATTCAGTGGGACTAGGGTGGGGTCTGAAATTCTACAATTCACAGAAGGTTATGAGGATGTCACACCTGGCCTCATAGCAGAGTTCGAGTAGCAACGGTTTAGGGAGGCCTCCCCAGAATCCGTTTAGTGAACAGCAACATTGGACTTAGAGACAGGACACCTAGGCTGAATATATACACGAGTGCCAAACAGAAGTCATAACTCTACCACCGAATGGCTTTTTGACCCTGGCCCAATAGGCCATCCTTTCTGTACTCTTGCTGGAGAAAAAAATGAGCATTAAGATGTCTACTTGATAGAGTGCTGTTGTGAGGCTTTAATAGATGTGAAAAAATACCTGGCTCAGAACAGATTCTATAAATATCTATTCCCATCAGTAGACTGGTGCTACCTATTTTCGAACGGGCTCCCATTATGAAATATCACCCTTAGACAGCAGTGCACCTGTAGCCAGTCAGATCTGATGACCTCACTGGGAAAACTGAGCTAAACTGCATTTACTGTAATGAACCACCCTCCCACAAACTATAAATAATGTCGACCTCATTTGATTTTTCCTCTGAAGGCATGACTCTTAGCCACAACTAAACTTTGTTCCGATTTCTTATTGTAAATCAGAATCAGTTCTTATTTATGTGATGGAACACCAGACCTTGCTAATTTAAAAACCGTATTTAAATATATATATATAAAATACCTAAAAAATGTACCTGCATCAACATAACTTTCCAACAGAGCTAAAGTAAAAGTGCACAGTTCTGTGGAGTGAGACAGCCTTAGAAATCTCACATCTTCCGCTTGCTACTGCAAAGATATTGGGCAAGTTATTTAATCCTTTCCAGTTTCTCTTTTTCTCGGTAGTAAAATAGAGAGGGTACCTACTTTACAGGGTTGTTGTGAAAATTTAAAAACTTGATATATAGGAGCCATCTATTAAATGCCCTCTCTGTTAAAATTCACATTAGTCTAGCAAGAAAATTTAGGCTTCTTGCAAAATAAGGGAAGCTTCTTCTCTTTTTCTCGGAGCATGCATGCATTCATGTGTGAGTGTTTCTATTCAGAGGTACTTAGTTTCAAGTGATAAAACTGGTTGCTATAGAGACTTTTGAATACAACTGACTAGTGTAGATATAATATTAGAAGCAAGTCTCCAAGGAGTTAAGCCAACTCAAAACTCAAGTCACAGTCTTCTGTTAAAACTCCCATCTATTTTAGCCTACTCTTGATCATCTCTATAGTGCTTGCCAGAGCATACTAATAATAGATAGCATACCAAACCCGCCTCATGCCAGGTACCATACCATACCCTTTATAGACTACAAAAGCCCACTTCTATGCACTTCAGAACTTCTTGGCCTTACATCTTATTCCATCTTCCCCTACAGGCACAGCCCGTCTAGGCTTTGAGTGGCCTCAGCCTGGTGAAACTCAGTAAAGCCTTACCTCCTGCCATGCTATGTGGCTCTCAGCTGCCACCAAAGGCTCTCTGTTGATGTCAAGGCTTGGAAAGTGACAGAATCCTGCTTGGCACTCATGCATAGGAAGTCCACTGTTGGGGGGCGGGAAGTAATGCCTCATGTACTCAACTCTTCTCCCCTTGGATAGATGTCCTGAGATGAGTTTATAAAGCTTCATAGAGTCAAGTACCACAAGATCAAGCTGTGAGTCGCGCTAAGCGGTGCCAGTGGTGCTTGAGTATACTCTTAATGACACTCAGTTCCTCCCTGCTCACGACCTTGTCCCTGACTCTTTCCTATGCTTTTTGGGAAATGCACCTAAGAAATATTATCTTTTAAGATATTCCTGTTAACCTAATGAGGTAGGTATTTTAATATCTTCTTTTTATGGGGGAGAGAACTAAGTCTCAGAAAAGCTAAGTAACTCACTCCCTGCCCCCAACGCTGTAAGCCCAGCCAGGACTACCTAGGATTTCCCAGTATAAATGCTTAAAATCCAAAACCTTATGTTGAACATGATGTCTCCCTTCTTTCCCCCAAACCTTTCACCATGGTTACTTGTATGTGTAGTAAGTGTGTGAGATAAAGGGAGTAAGATGGGAGAAGGGACTTAGAAACACGCACTACTTTGAATTTCACACCCTTTTAGGCCTCCACTCTTAATATGTGTTAACAATTTCCAGTTTTACCATCAACTTAAAAGCCAAGGTAAAAATATCCTAGTGAATGACTATCTTTCCACTTATCCATCAGGCTATCTCTATTCAGAAAAAAAAGCTCACTGCACCCACAGGTGTGTGGTAAAGTCCTGGGGGGGGGGGAGCTCTGCAATAACTAAATACGACACAGCTCCAGGCAAAGACCAGGCTCTGGGTGGGGTCAATCCAAGCAGTGGCCCACAAAAAGGGGGGGGGGGTTGTGGCCCCTTCCTAGGTTGATCTGAAATGAAGATTTGTGGAGGCTGGTATTTTCAGAACAATTAATCATTTCAACACACAGGCAACCAAAGGAGCTCCTCATGTGAGTACTGTTAATATCACTAATCCATCTGACCTTCCTGCAAGGTAAAAATCTCTCCATTTTTATCCCCATTTGGCAGATTTTAATTAACTTCTCAAGGCCAACCAGTTAATCAGTAGAAACAGCGTTGCAAAGTGGGACACCTGCCTCCCTGCGAGCTCAGCACCACCAGCTGCCTCCCTATCGTCTTCCCCACCGAGCTGCAGGTTTGCAGGAAAAAGTCGATGGCCTTTTCCAACAGAGAAGAACAGCACATGACAATCCATCCAACTAACAGGGAGTCACACAGCATGACCGGTTTCCTTCCGAGTCCAAATAAATGATTCCTTCAGCTCTAACAGCCTGGGGTTTTCTGTAAGATGGGAATTCTTGTACCACATTGTCCAAAACCTATGTAGGTTTAAAGATTCTCTGTCCAACTGAAAGCCTTTCTGTTTTAGTGAGATAGCGTTGATGTCATCTGTGTGGCCCGAAGTAAAGAGGCCCACGTTGTGTTCCCAATGCCAGGCACACAGGGGAAGACAGGGTTCTTAACATAGCTAAGAGGCAAATAAATCAATTCTGAAGAGGCGAGCTAAGCCTGCCAAGCAGGCAGTTACAGGAATTGCCTCCGAGCTGCATTTGAGGTTCTACTGTAAGAGCACAAATTACAGTTTTTGTCTCAAAATAGATAGGAGGTTGAATGGAGCACACAGAGATGTCTGGGTATTTTTGGAGTCTGAGAACATTGAGTGCCCTCAACACCAAGTCTTCTATTAAAGCTCCACAAGGCAGGCAAATTCCCAGGCTAATAGTACAGTGATCAAGGGGATGGAGTATCACTAGGCAGGTAAACAGTTCTGTTTTGTTTTTCTGGTAAGAGAGCCAAAAAGAATATTTTTAAATGTTAAATGTTACTGTGTGGGATTTGATATGACTCTTTGCAGTAAACTGACAGGGAAGCACAACTTTTTTTTTTTTACAAAACGTATAAGGTTAATAGCTTTGGGTGTCTCAATATGAAGGGCTGCTTTTCACAGGCCACACACCACGTATCTGAGTCACCATCTCCTGTCCTCAGCAAGATGACCAACTCACGGGCATGCACGCACATGGGCGCACCTCCTTATGCTCCCTCCACACACCCCAGTGCATCCAGTGCATGAGCAGGAAGCATTTGGAATGTGATTTTCTGTCATTTTTTCCCTTCTCTTTGATGTGCATTTGTGTGTATGACAGTCCAGGCCCTGATAAAAGAGTCATCCTATTTATTTCCTTGGTCAGCCTGATGCTAACAAAACCCATTCACCCTTCTCCTTCCTCCATCCCCACAATGCATACTAAAGTTTTATATACTTATATGACATTGCATCAAAATTAATTTTAATGAAGCTATTAGGCATCACTATTTAATATCTCTTAATGTAATAGAATCATTGTAAGAGGGGTGTAGCAAATAAGAAATAACCATAAAGGCTGGTAAGATAAAACAGTATTTGTAAAATCCTTATCACAGAGCTTGGCACATAGTAATTGCTCAATAAATGGTAGTTTCTAGAATCATCATCTCATTACATTTCTGGTTACTTAGGCACATTCTGAAATAAGTTTTAATTGAAAAATTAATTTAGAAGAAGCATATTTTATCACAGATTTATTTCAAAAGTCAAAGTCAATGGCCAGAGGGCCATTATAGACTAATGCCATCTTTTACAACTTTGATTCAATTAAAAGCTAATGAATATACTGCAAGGTCATCATCATAATATCTTCTATAGTTTCACTTGGAGGGCTACTGTGTTTCAGTTAAATTTTCAAATAATTCTCATATTCAAGTAATCATAACTGAAAATTTGGGGTAAATAAAAATATACTCCAGTTAACAGAAACCATAAGAGAAATAAACAAGTCTCCCCAAAGAACAAAAAACTTCTTTATGCAAAAAAGAAACCTGATTGTTGCTGGGCCGATCCTTCCCCCATTCTTCTTCCTGTCTTTCCATATTGATAGAAATGTATTTGTGGTTCTTCTGTTGGTCCACATAGGGGTCAGACCTTGGTCATCCAAACAAAAGTTCATTTAAATAAATGCTGTTTAGGTCTTTGTTTTTCAAGGCAATGCTTTGTTTTGGAGGAATTTTTCCTTGAGGGATGGGGGAGGGGTGGAGAGCAAGAACTAGATGGAGCACAAAACACTGAAGCAAGAAAAGACTGGAAAACACATAACTTGCCTCTGGACCCCACACAGAGGAGCCGTCAGTGGCATAGGAGTCTTCGAGCCCCCGGTCATTGAAAGCCGTCTCCGTCTCCAAGCTGCCCTCTGTGGACTGACGCCGGAGGCTGCGCACCACACTGGTCCCCTGGGGAGGTGCACTCTGGTGCCTGGCATCGCCCGCCTCACACAGGGACTGTGAGGGGGCAGAGATGGGATCCTCTTCACCATAAGACAGATTCTCAGGATAAGTCAGTTGGCTGGCTCCATCCAAATCTGAATTTACAATAAGGAAATGATTTTTATCTAGAGAAATTGGGCAATAGAAGTTACACCGATCAAGACCTCAAAAACAAAACCCACAAAATAACACCTGCAGAAACATCATTCTAATCATCTAATGGATAAACTTGGTCCATAAAATCAAAAAGACCATTAGTTCATTATGTGGGGTCGAAAGTTAAATACTTCTTAATAATATGAGTATAAAGAGTGTGTGTTTATGTAAGGAGAATAAACTAAACACATTAGCACTTTGTTGGACCTAATGACCACAACCAAACTTTGGGGATGGATCTAGAAAGCAAGGACGGTAACCAGCTGTGGAGGCTACATGGTCTCCTGACTCTCCACTCTTTTCTCTTCCAAGTCCAACATACTGCCTTCTGCTCAAAAGGCTTCAGTGGTTCTCTCAAGTAGCAATTTCCCTGCTTGATTCATGCAAAGAACGCTGAACTTGGTTCCAGATGACTGGGGTTTAAGAACTTAAACAATTTGAACTGTCTGAACCTTTATTTCCTTATTTATAAAATGATGATAAAAGTTGTCAGAGAGACACATCAACTACTAACAATATCTGCCTGGTTGCCACCGGTCCTTCCATAAATATTAGTCTTGCTGACTTGTGTGGCCCAAACTGGCCTCATGCAAACCAGCAAACTTCACCTTCTACCACCTCCCACCTCTCCGTCACCTGTGGCCCTGCTGGCTCATGAAAGAGCTAGCTGTGTATTTCTGTCCACAGCAGTTCTCCAGCCGTCCTGCTTGTCCTTTCCTTCCTGTCCATCTAAAGCCTCAACAACTACTAAATCTTCCTTGACTCCTTCACATTCAGTGTTTTCCTCAGACCTCCTCCTCCTCCTTTTCTTTTCTTTCTCTTCTTCCACTCCCGCCCTTGCCCTCTCTCAGTATTTCCTTACTCTGTTCATCCCTTGCCTCTCTTTCAATGTCCAGGTTACTCTCCAATAGTAAGGAAAAACTGACAGTGTCTTATTAAGTTGTTTCTTCCCCCCTGACTTGCTTCCCACACCCCCCCTAAAAAGCTAAGGATATCTTATCTCTCTGGCCTTCAGGCTTCCTTGGTTGCCCCCATCCTAGGACGAGAGAACATTAGAGATATAGATAGAATAAGTGAGTGGATGACAAAGTGTACATCATAAATTCAGCTCTTATTTATACACTGTATGGCAGCAATTGTCTCCATAGCCTTAAAGTTTCAGCTAGAACATATCCTCCTTGAAAGCACTAAGCCACACACATCTACCGCATAATCTCTATCCACCAGTGGACTTCACTAAACCCTCAACTAAACTCGAAGGCTAAGCAGGTAACAAATACTTGAAGCAACCAAGCGTGTAGCTTTATGGACTAGTGGTGACAGGGGTGCACCAGCCGCTATAGGACCTACCACATAAACTTAAAAATATATCATCACCTTTGCAAACCACATAAGCACGTTTTCAGGCAGACTTGGTCCTCGGCACACAACTTCAGACTCCTGATCTGGGATTTTTCAAAACTCTGGCAAGCCAATGAGAAGTTCCCTTAGCTGCCTTGTTATTCTTAATAATTCAGTTCCAGCCACTTGGAAACACTTTCACAGGTACCATAACATTTTTACATTCACACTTCCAGTTACTTGGCAAACACACTTCTAAAAAGATCACAGAAAATGACAGAATAAGGGATATTCCTACATGCAGCACTCTACAATATAAAGCAGAATTTTCTTCCAAGCCTCTAATTAGCACATCCATTCCTCACACACATGAACACTAAAGTGTCCTATTAAACAGTGGGTCATCTATCAACATGCTCGGCAGCCAGCAGGATTGCAGCACAAAATCTAACTTGGCCAATAAATTACCCCCATAAAATTGTCCCATGATTTCAATTCCTACAGTGATAATACCTAGATCAGTAATAAGGGAATTTTCAAAAGCTACATCAGGCCTTGAAAAGCTATTCATAACTGAAAAACATAAGAACTATATTAATGTAACAAACCATTTTCCTTGACAGACACTCAAGGATGAATTAGACAAGCAAACCTGGGGTACAAGTCAAGCCCCAAGGAGCAGGAAAGAGGTAATTCACCATCACATAAAGTGGTCTTTTTGTGCTTTAAATTAAAGAAGGTCAAGTCAACTTAAATACATACAGAAAAGTAATTGCCGTTGTCAGAGAAATGTATCCTGGCTTCATAGAAATTATAGGGCATAATTATGTTGCATCAACCATATTAATTTTAGCAGAGAAATTCTTGGATTTGCTTAGTCCATACCCTACTTTGATGGGGTGTGACCAGTTCTTCGATGCTCCCACATTTGTCTCTCCCACCACACCCCAGAGATATTTCTGCTTGCCATCTATGATGGTCAGTTTTATGTGGCTGATCTATAAGCCCCAATTATTCAATCAAATAGTAATTTAAGTGTTGCTGTAAAGGTACTTTGTAGATGTGATTGAAGCCTTTAAGCAGTTGACTTTAAGTGAAGGAGACTATCTTGCATAATCAGTCCATTAAAAGGCCTTAAAAGGAGAACTAAGGGGACCCTGGAAAAGAAGAAATTTCACTTGTGCACTGCAGCTTTGGCTCATGCCTGAGAGTTTAAGCCATCGCTGTGTGTTTCAGAACTGTGTGGCCTGGCCAGCCTCCTCAAGTGCAAAGTAAATTCTTTGCATTTATAACTCTCTCTCCTCCTTCTCTTTCCCGGGAGAGAGAAGGAGGAGAGAGAGCTGTGAGTGCATAAGACAGTTTATTCTTGTATTTTATTAATTACTGTACTATTTTCCACACAAGCAACTATAAACCTACTGTTGCCTCACCCTGACATATATACAATTCTGATTGATACATCGTTCCCCAACAAAACTGAGCACAGATTCTGAAGATAATTGAGCTATTCCTAATGACCAGGAAGGTAATGTCTAGCTTCTTTGTAGTATCCTAAAAGCTAAATATTTCGCAAGCAAAATTAAGGCTTGGCACAAAAATAGGGGTGGGGGAAACTTCAAGAAGTGCACTATTACTCTGTAGCCCTTTCACGCCTAAAGATCTGGTGCACAGCCTCTGATCCAGATCACTTAGCCCAAACCCTCTTTGACGTCATCAGGAATGCAGTGACAATTGATGCAAAATAACACTAACTCAGATACACGAGAGAAGAGAACACTTGGCTAGAATATGAAGATAGCATTGTCTTGATTCTAAATTAACCTCACCAATCTAGAATGAAGGGTTTCTCTTAGGATGAATCATGAAACAAGTTACCAGTAATTTATTTGTGGTTCAGATTTGACTTGAATTTGGACCTTTCATTTCACTCATCCAACATTTTTAATGTGTTTGTAAAGTAAGAATCATCTACAATTAAATTTGATCTTAGAAAATTGTTTAAAGTAGAGTGAAAAATAGCTAAATGGAGAACATGCAAAAAATCCTCTTTGAGGTGCACACTTAATCTCTTCATTATTCTTCATTACTGAAACAAAGTCACCGATCAAAAGATGAACAAAAAGAAATGGCGCAGAAAGATTATCATGCAATATAAATTACTCTAACATTTCCATGATATTTGATAACCTGAAATTTAGCATGCATTTATTTATTCCTATGAAAATCTTGCTGTTTTCTTTTTCAAAATCTACAGGTAGTTCATTCACTGTGGTGGACTTCTTCCTTTCTCCAGTAGAGAAAAAATTTACCTTTTCTATCACCATCTGCCAAAAAATTCATAACCACTGGTTATGACAAAAGAGGTTGCTGATTTCAGGAATTGTGAGGTTAGAGCGGTTGTCAAAACTCTCAGAACATCAGCCAGTTGTATAAATCAGAAACTAGACTCAGGCTTCTGGGAAATGAGGCCTTTAGAACTAAACAAGCTACTCCTAGGGAAAAAAACTGCTATCACCTTTCATTAACCAACATTTGCCCTCGCAATGGAGAGAGAGGAATGCTGTGATGTAACATGAGAGACAGAGAGAAAAGCAGGAGAAGGTGTAAGAAACCGACAGAGGGCCAGTGTTATGCTGTGGTTATATAAGGCATTTATTTCCTGGCTTACCTTGGGCTAAAAAGAATAGCCAAAAAAAAAAAAAGTTATGCTGTCCATGTCAGTAGGTAAAATTACATGATAAATAGCAAATTATGATATTCACACTGAAAAAAAAAGAATTCTTTTTGTTAATTCTCCTCTTTTTACTATGTTCTTTTTCTGCCCACCCCATCACATATCAAGTCACATTTCCTCTCTGTTATCTCCTCTCAGTTTTGGACTTTCCCTTCTCTCTTTTCTTTTTCTACCACTATGTTTCAGAAAACCATGGAAGAGCTCAACTATGCCCCCCTTAGTTTGACTGACCACAATCCCCAAAGAAAAGAAAGAATAGATTAGAGAATCCAGGTTGTTTCACCCAGGTGGCTCAGGTGGGTGGCATGACATATCCCCTAGCTTGTCACCAAATACCCTTCACAGACCCTTCCCTTTCCCAGTGTCCTGTGCCTTCTCAGGGCTCTCAGCATAAAAGAGCCAAAGAGATTCCTGACCTTCATTTGGGAAAAGGACTAAGAAATAATGCACTGTTCTTTCTCCAGGTTATTCTGTGTAAGTGGTGCAAAAGGAGGAGGACTCTTAACAAGGCCTTCCCTCCATCACTAGCTGGGCTTCCTGCCCCAGACTGTCCTCCCCTCCCCTTTGTGAGGGCATATGTAGCATAAAGATGCTAGAGGTTGGCATGAGGCCTTGCTCTTGCCCAGCAAGTCTCATGTGAAATGGGGGTGGGGATGCTCCGAAACTACAGAGAATGAGGGAGAGGGTGCAGGGCATATGTTGTTTGAGGGAGGTTATTCAGTATTATTATAATACATGTTTCTGTTTGGAAAATAAAACAATACCTATTGTTTTTAATAATACAAACTAGTAAAAGAAAGGCTTCAAAAATCTTCTGGGGTTACCTAGCTATGTGGAAAATAGACTTGATTGCAAATGGGAGGAAAGGCACAGAATCTCAATGTCAGCGGACATGTATGTGAAATGTTTGTACCTATCAGAAAGCAACAAAATATTATAAAGCTGTTCTGGTCATTAGTGTTAAATGTATATATAAAGTAGTGACTATAAAGAAGGAAGGAGTCCTGCAAATCAGAAGTAAGGGCTCAGAACTTCTGATCCATTCCCTCCCCAAGTTCCCTGAAGGATAGCTCCCCCCTGCAAAATTTGGAGCAGCCCTTTCCCTGCCCCAACCTCTGGGTCCTGCCCCATTTTCTCTCCCTTCCTGGACTCTCAGATGCAAAGGCAGAGGTTACATGACTCAAAGACACTTTTCCCCTTGGCCATGCCTGGTCTAGATAAAGGAAGTTTTGATGCCAAGAGTACCTTCACAGGCAGACACTTGCGTGCTGTCCTCTTTGCTGGTAGAGAGCAAGCGGCGCAGTTTGGGTTTCTGCTCCGGTCCTGTCTGCTTGCCTTTCTCAGGTGCTCTTGAACGGAAACTCTGGGACCGGGACACAGAAATCTCAAACTGTTTGATCACCTCCTCATCAGAGTCGGAAGATGTGCACAGCTCTTCATCGTCTCCAAAGCTGTTAACTGGGAGCAACAAGAGCCATGAGTTTCCTGCGGGGCCCACAGGAACACAGAGGCAGGCAGGCAGAGAAACAGAAGAGCGTGGGCGATTAGCTTGGATCAAGCAGTGCCAAACTGGACGGAGACAGTTTAAAGCATGGTTGAAACACAAATTTGAGTCCAAATCAAAACAGGAAGAGATAGCTCATGAGGGTCATGGGAAGGGGATGGCTAAAACCCAGGAGAAGCCACTGGGACAGCCCCAATCAACACAACGAGCCCCCTCACGGAGCAGGGCAGCCCTGCTGATTTCTGGTGCTGACACGTGCTCATAGCCAGGAGGACAGCTCTCCGCGCACGTGGCTCATGTGCAGACTTAGTCAACCATGACAGAAAACACGCTCTTCGCTTCATCGCCGCTATTAAAACCCACAGAGCCAACTGAGATTTGCAATTGAGATTTTCCAAAAGCTTCCTCATTTTGAAAAGAGGCATCCATATTGAGTGTGTGTGTGTGTGTGTGTGTGTGTGTGTGTGTGTGTGATCTTGTTTCTACTAGACATGTCCTGATGCCCTCCTCAACACCAACAGCCCAGCCCAAATACCCTCGGAATTACTTGTCCCACTTTCCCCACATTCCCCACATCCCAGCACAATGGTCCTCCTTCAGTTTCTCTAACACGCCCAGATGATTCCTGCCTTTGAGTTCTTTGACTTCTTTTTCCTTCTGCCAGGAAGCCTCCCTCCCCTGGTTCCTGTCACCATTCAGGTGTCAGCTCGACTGTCACTTTACCCTAGTCACTGTCCTGGTTGGCCTACCTTAAGCAGTTCTCCTCATAGAACTTCTCATCTTTATTTCTCTCTTCTCTCCCAGAACTTCCATAAAATAACATCGCCTGTTTTGTTAACCAGCGTGTGCCCATTACACAAAATAATGCCTGTTGCATAGTAAGTGCTTAATGAACGCTTGCTAAATGGTGTATAAATTGGTGAATACTCAGTGTTTTACCCCAGCCCGGAAGGCCCCCCACATACACACAGTTCCCTGTGTCTGGAATACTCTTCAGCCCCCATCCAGACTAGTCAAGAATCTAGCTCACCATTCAGGTCTCAGCCTAGACATTGCTTCCTCCAGAAAGCCCTTCCGTGGCCCTTCATGTCAAGTTCAGGGCTCCTTCCACGTGCTGTAAAAAGCTCTCTGTCCTGCCCTGGCAGTGCTCCCTCCAGTGTTGGGACAGAATTACCTGTTTAACTGCCAACCATTCCACCTAACCTGTGCACACCAAGAGGGCCCATCAGACTACCCACTTTATATCCCTCCCAGCTCTAGCTCTGTGCCAGGAACATGGCAGACTACTGCGTAAATATTTTCTGAGGGTGAATTCAAAATGATAAATAATGAGATATTAGTTTTTGAATATTCCCTCCTTCTATCCAAAAGGCACACAATGACTTTTCTTCTGGGGAGGAATATAGTTGTTAACTCACAGATGGGTCCTGAAGATCACTTCTGAATCAGAAGCTAAGAAAAAAATAAAAGGCCATATTTTAAGTGAGAGAAAATACTCTAAACACCAGCCTGGTCAAAACATTTATTCTCTGGCTTATTTAAGAATTGATATTTTTGAGGTTCTTTGGTAGACTAGTAATAATAACAAACACTTCTTGGAATACTTTTTATATGCCAGGAACGATCCCAAATGCCTTATACCTATTCTCTCATTTAATCCACACAAAATCTCTATTCATTTTCCAAGTAAGAAAACTGAGTCAGAGAGAAATCCACAATGGGCTGGAGACCACACTAATAGTCTCCCAACAATCACAATCGGGAGAATCAAGACTTGAATCAAGACAGTCTGCCTTTGGAGGCCATGTTTGGAATCACTGTGCTGGAGAACCAGAGAAGTGGTGGAAATAATTCTTATTCTCCATGTTCACATTAACTAGCTGAACCCCAGTAGCCAAGTCTTTTAACCTCTCTGGCCCTGCTTCTCCATTTGTGGATCATTTCTAACATCTGGATCATTTCCCAGGTCTTTTCTAGATCTAAATTCTCTGACTCCAAACTTCCTGCCCATGGACATTAAAATTGTATGTTTCTCTCCTTTGTTGCAGCAGTTAATCCAAAAACAGAGAGCCCATCATTGTCAGCTCACTCATTTCTATTGGCTGTGACCAGTGCCATGGGAGGACCTGAAAAGCTAAGTGTCAGAAGAGACTAGATTTCCCATTAATATTCTAATCCATCCCAACAAATAACCATCCCAATGAGCAGTCTGCTCAGGTCTCAACATGCTGGGCATCGCACTCTAGAATGGGGTGAACCATCATGTGTAGGAGACATCCAGAGACATATTGGAGTAGAATTAAATTCTTGCCACCTTTAGAGTATAGGACCAGCTAAGCACCCGGGAGGAAGTCAGGGGGATACATATGCCGAAGGGGCGGTTGAATGAGACATTCACTGGGAGACCTTTTCAATGCTGAGACTCCATTTCACTGGTATTGCTAGGTAAGCATTTTTCTAAATTTAACTAACCATAAGTCATCAATTTCAAATTAAGGGGGTCAGCTCATAGATATTTCCCTATGTATAAAACCAGTAATTAAAATTCATTAATATTCCAGTATGTGGTCCTCAATTTCTTTCTAGTGAGTCACTGATTACCCACAGGGTAAGACTCCCTCACTTGATATAATAATCATAATAGTAATTATAACACTTCCCATTTACTAAACATATACCACAGGGCAGGCACCTTTCTTGGGACTTTGCACATATTATCCCATTTAATCATCATAGCAACACAAGGAAGTAAGATTATTATTATTCCCATTGTAGAGACAGGAAACAGGGGCATGGAGAAGCTAAAGAGTTTTCCCTAGGCAAGAAAGTTACCACAGTATCAAAGCTGAGACTGAAACATCGAACTATATTCTTAGCCACTGCGCCATCAGACGTCATTGCATCGGGACCCTGTAGCAGCATGTAGCTGACTTTTCAGAGTAAGTTGAGAGGGAACTCTGCCACCTCCCCCTTGAAATCTGCCAGGAGGTTGTTTACTTTTTGAGAAGATGAGCAATGGGGCAAATGGTCAGTCTGGTCAGTCTGTGTAGGAGTGAGTGCACATAGACAAGCTGCAGTTTAATCAGCTATTGCTCCTTATGGGATTATACATTCACCTGCCATGCTATTCTAAGCCTTACTGCCCAAAGCTCAGGGAATTCTCCGCCTACCACACAAAAACCTTTCATCCCTTCTGGAAACCACTGAACAGGAACAGAAGTCAACGGTGATGCTACTACGATGATAAAATCAACCCCATATATGGCATTTATCATATGCCAAACGCTGTTCTAGAGCTTTACATACATTACCCTATTTACTCTTCACAATAACCCTTAATGAAATAAGTACTTTATTATCCCCATTGTATGGATGGGGAAAGTGAAGCCCAGTGAAGCTAGTAATTTGCCACAATCATAACAGTTAATAAATAGTGGAACTATTATTCAAACCCAAGCTGTTTGCTCAAAAGACAGTGCTATGAATGACCATAAGCTGCCTCCAGGAAAAAAAACTTCTTAAACCCTGGTCAAAATCTACACAATCATGTTTTATCACTACAAAGACACACATCACAATAGGCTGGGCTAGAAAGAATTTTCATAAGCATCTATTTATTCCCTCACTTTGCACAAACAGAAACTAAGGCCCAAGAGGCAAAGTGTTTGCCCACAGTTATACCACGTTGTCTCCAGCATTCCAGGTCACTGGCTTTGCTACTGTTCTGTCCAAGCTCTCTCTCCAATGGGCTGTTTTTTCAAAGTCAGATCTTGACTCTTATCTTTTTGAAAGACCCCAGCTACTCGCCTTGTCATGAGTCTATGTCAACAACTAAATGATTGACCTGGGTTTCATTCAACTTAAATATTTGAAAACCACAAAGTCTCATCTGGGTTGTAGCACTTATTTCAGAGATAAGATTATACTGTGTCATATATCAAGTCCAACCCCTTTGAAGCTGAGTGCCTGAGAAACCATACAGTGGAAGTTGGATTTAAATCTTCACTCTTTCTTCATCCAATTACCTTGCTAAAATAACAGGAAAAAACTGCACAATTACAATGGATGTGGATACATCTTGAAGTTTCTATTGTTCTTTTCACTCCATCACAGAATGCAGAGACATCTTAGGTACCATCTAAATATCAGACTCCTCTGCAATCTTTCTGACATACAGCCGCCCAACTTCAACACTACTTTACACACTGTCTAGATGCTGCTGTGGGCTTCTTGCACGGCCAGAAAGCTCATGACTTTGACACTCAGAGAGAGCTATTTATAGATCCATCAATATCTAGTCCCTAGTCTAATGCAGACAGATTGTCCTCCCCTCTAATTTTAACGATTTGTTTCTATTTTAAACAGATAAGGGCAGAGGAAATGGTATCTCCACCTTGCACATTTAAGAGAGGAAGATGGGTCCCCAGCATCACAGGATCTGCCTGTCAAGTATAACATCAGTTAGGCTGGAGTGGTTAGGGACGTGGAATCTGGAGTCAAGCTGCCTGAGTTTGAATCTTCTATTTGCTATTTTGAGTCTTAAGAGAGTTCCTTAGTCTTCCTGAACATCAGTGGTTTTATTTTGATATTCCTTCTTAAAATTGTTGAGAGGACTAAATGAAATAAACCATATGAAGGCACTTAGCACATGCCTGGCATATGATATGTTGACCATTATTATAATTCGCTCCATCACAGCAGTGCCCTGTGTGGAAACCCTTTTATGAAGCCTACATTTACACGCAAAGGAAAGAATGTGCCTGTTCTTGCAATGTCTCACTTGAAAACTCATCATCAGTGTTGTCGAGGGAGAAGGATGGAAGAAATAAGCACTGGACAGGGGAAGATTAAGTTGATAATTCGGGTTGTGTGACCTTCCTTACCTCACCACTCTTTTTCCCAAGTCTGGAGGTGGGGCACTCTGTAAGAGTTGGCAATGCCCAACCCCTGCTCA